CGGCCTGCGGACTGAAAGGTCCCGGGTTCGATTCCGGTCAAGGGCATGTACCTGGGTTGCGGGCACATCTCCAGTAGGAGATGTGCAGGAGGCAGCTGGTCGATGTTTCTCTCTCATCGATGTTTCTGACTCTCTATCTCTCTCCCTTCCTCTCTGTAAAAAATCAATAAAATATATTTAAAAAAAAAAAAAAGATGATTGGTGGAATGATCCACTTTCCATGAGTGGTGTCAGAACTATTGGATAGTCATGAAGAAAGATAAAATTAGGCTTCTTTATACAGTCTAATTTCAAAATGGATTGAATTGCCAAAGAATTTCATTAATAAAGTGGAACCATATAGTTTTTAATTTAAAGATTGGTGAATTCCTCATTTACCTGGGAGTGTAGAGACTATAGCTCAAATTTCAAAATACATTGATGAATTTGACAACTTAAAAAATAAACTTATGGAAAAAATAAGCAAACTAAAAAGATATAAGCTGAGGGAAATTAGTTTTTGCTTACATATGACAAAGGTGTTTTTGGTTTTTTATCCCTAGTATATAAAGGTTGTCTAAAAAAGGAAAAGATAATTCATATAAAAATTCAAGTGGCCCTTTAAAATTTGGAAAGTGACCAAGCTTCTATAATAAGACAAAGCAAAATACTGTGAAACCATTTCTCATCTTTCAGAATGGTAAAAATCCAAGACTGTGATGGATAAGAAGATACTCTTCATATATTACTTATTGAGCTACAACAAAGTACAACCCCTATAGAGTACGGGGAATGGGGGATGACTTGGCAATGTTACTTAGGTTTTAACCAGTGGCTCAGCAATCTCTCCAATCTAGGACTCTACCCCAAAGATACAGCAGTAGAAATACAAAATTATGTATGTCTGAGCTTCTTCTGTATGGTACTCTTTAGTAATAGTGAAGACCTAATAAAGAATTGGTTGAGTGGAATACTAATCAACTATTTAAAAAAAAGAAAATGGGAAAAACCTCTATATATTGTTTTGGAGTGAACTCACATATACATTATTCTATTCTTTAAGCAAACACACAGCAACTTCTTAGGTATATGTTAGTATCCTATGAATACTTGACTCCACTTCGCCCTTTTCTATTTAATAAGCAAAATAGTAACAGTTATCTCTTGGGGATAGGAGGATGGTGGGTGGGAAGTAGAATAAGTCTCTAAAATTCAAAAGCAAACTCACAAGTGAACCATATATAGAGTTGTTGGCTGAGTCACGCAGAGAGGAATTATTTCAAGTGACTTTTAACCACAGTGATCTTACTATTTACACCAAAAGAAATATCTGAAGGACAAAAAAATGACTCAAAAAAATTGGAAACTTTATGAATCAGTAGGTTGAATTTTAACTAAGGCATCTGAGGGAGGTTGCTCTATAATTTTTCTTCTGGTATCCTTGGTTCTTACGTCTTGCTGGACTCAGAAGAGTTGGTCAGTCTAAAGAGAAACGGGATTTCTGTATTGTATCTTAAATAAATTTCTGCCTCAGTGAATATTCAACTTAGGAACGTTTTAACGGGTTTTTTTAGCACAAACTTTGTGCCAGACCCTGTGCTAGGAACTAAGGATATATATGTGGTTATCTCCCCACTCCTGTGGCACTCCAGTCTAAGAGAGTGTATACAAATTTGTAAATAAAAAATACAGTCCTCTGAGAAATGTCAAAAGGAAAAGTCCTGAGGTAAGACAGTTCTTATTGTTCATAACGGACTCTGGGAAAGACTGAGGAGGAAGACTTAGTGCTTACCAAGTAGCTTCTGTAGAACTGAAATAAAGAATAATTTACAGGAATTCAGTAATAGAGTAGAGGATTCCAAGACTCAAATAAATGATCGGTTATATGAGGAAGCAAAAAACACCCAATCAGAAGAGCAAAAAGAAAAAAAGAATCCAAAAATATGAAGATAGTGTAAGGAGCCTCTGGGACAACTTGAAGTGTACCAACATTCGAATCACAGGGATAATTTGAAGAAATGACAGAAAACTTCCCCTACTTGGTGAAAGAAATAGACTTACAGGTTCAGGAAGCATAGAGAGTCCCAAACAAGAGAAACCCAAAAAGACCCATACCAAGACACATCATAATTAAAATGCCAAGGGTTAAAGACAAAGAATTTTAAAAGCAGCAAGAGAAAAGCTGTTAGTCATCTACAAGGAGCACCCATATGACCAGCTGATTTCTCAACAGAAACTTTGCAGTCCAGAAGGGAGTGGCAAGAAATATTCAAAGTGATGAAAAGCAAGGACCTATAACCAAGATTACTCTACCCAGCAAAGCTCTCATTTAGAGTCAAAGATCAGATAAAGAGCTTCACAGACAAGAAAAAGCTAAAGGAGTTCATCACCAAATCAGTATTATATGAAATGTTGAAGGGTATTCTTTAAGAAGAGGAAGAAGAAGAAAATGACTTATATATATATCCCTAGCTGGTTTTGCTCAGTGGATAGAACGTCAGCCTGCGGACTGAAGGGTCCCAGGTTCGATTCCCAGTAGGGGGCATGCAGGAGGCAGCCGATCAATGATTCTCTCTCATCATTGATATTTCTCTCTCTCTCTACCCCCTTCTCTGAAATCAATATATTTTTTTAAAAATATGAACAATAAAATGACAATAAATACATATCTCTCAATCAGCAATTGAACCTAAAAATTAAAAAGTATAATGAACAAAATCAACTGATGAATAAAATAGAATCAGAGGCATGGAAATATGGAACAGACTGACAAGTCTCAAAGGGAAAGGGGCCAGGAAGAGATTAACCAAAGGTCTTAGGCATATATGCATTACCAATGGACACAGATAATAGGGCAGTGAATGCCTAGGGTGAGGCGGGAACCAGGTGGAGGTAGACTATGGGGGAAGAAAGAGGGACATCTGAAATACTCTCAACTATAAAGATTTTTTTTAAAAAAGTTTAATTTGAATGTCTGAAAAGGTGATACATCATTCTTAACATTTTCCCATAATAAAACTTCCATCTGCTTACTGAGATTACCACAATTCACAGTGTGGTTGTATCAGTGACTGAAATTCACTAGCATAAGAATCCAGTCCATTTCTTATTGTTAGATGGTGTAATGTAGGTTCAACTAAAAAAATAGTGACTGCCTGGGCTGTATTGGGGGTATCATGGTGTTGAATTAGACAGATCTCCGCCACCCAGATGTTTGTGGGTATATTTTATTTTTAGCATGCATCAGATCATTGTAATATACTTTATTATACTAGAGACCTGGTGCATGAAATTCATGCATGGTTAGGATCCCTAGGCCTGGCTGGTCATCAGGGCCGATCTGTGGGACGACAGGCGAGGTGATCAGGGCCCCTGCTCACACCCGCTTTGACTGGCCTGGTGTCGCCCACTTGCTGCCCACCCCCCGCCACTGCTGCCGGTCGGGGGCTGGAGCAGCTCCTACATTGAGCGTCTGCCCCCTGGTTGTCAGTGAGTGTCATAGCAACCTGTCGTTCCACCATTCAGTCTATTTGTATATTAGGGTTTTATATAGTCTATAATAATAAAAGCATAATATGCTAATTAGACCAGGCAGCCAACAACCTTCCAGACATTCTTCCAGACGACCTCCCAGATGAAGCCGGGGCTGTGAGGGCCGAACCCCTTGTACGAATTGCATGCATCGGGCCTCTAGTAGATATATATTTTAAGATATATTACAGATTGATAGTATTTTTTAATCCTCACTTGAGGATATGTTTATTGATTTTTTTTTATATCCAAAATGTGTTTATTGGGATGGTTTCCCACTCATCTTGATTTGAGGTGCTTTTAGTGCTACTTCCTTCTGAAGGAGCATCCTTCTGTAAGCCTTGCTTTTCCTCCTCTTGGCTGACAGAGAACAGTGGAGCACCCAACGCACAAAACTACCGTTTGTGCATGGCTAAAGACGGCGGTGATTTTATAGCTTCCTGAGCACTTCACATGAAGTAGGAATTGGGGCTCTGCACCAGGCGCTTCTTCCTCTTCTCCTCTTCTGCGGAGGGGTGGAAGAGATCCTTGGCGAGGGGCATGTTGTCGTGGGGAGGTTGTCACCGCCAGAAAAGCTGTTTATTGATTTTGACAGAGAGGAAGGGAGAGGGGGGGAGAGAGAGGGGGGGGGGGGAGAGAAAAGAGAAAGAGAAACATCAGTTGCCTTCTGTATGTGTCCTCACCAAGGGTTGGACCTGCAACCTTTGTGGTGTATGGGACAACACTCCACGTGGGGCAAGGATAATTTTGATGGGCTTTACTGCTCAGAATGTTTTGTCTCACTTGCTTTGGGCAATGTTTATGGTTTTTTGGTTTTTGATTTTTTTTTTAACTGATTTGAGAGAGGAAACCATTGATTTGTGGTTCCACTTTTTATGCATTCGTTAGTTTCTTGTATGCGCCCTGACCAAGGATCGAACTCACAACCTTGGCATATATGGAAGATGCTCTAACCAACTGAGCTACCTGGCCAGGGTGGGAGATGTATTTTTCAATTAAATATGTATTTCTGTTTTGTAATAAGCAATGCATGCATACCATTCAAACTTCAAAAGGTTACAGAAAATGTCTCTCTTCTACTCAGTCCTTTAGTCACACAGTTTCCCAGCTCCAGAGCCAACGTGTATTGGTTGTTTCTTGGCTGCTGTTCAATTCATATTCTCTGGATAGGCATGTAGTGTACATTTTCCCCCTTTTTTTGTACTCTCTGCTCTGCACTTTGCTTTTAACTTCATGTGTCCCAGACTGTTCCTTGTCATTCATTGCCCATTGGAGCTGCCCCTTGTGTCTTTTCTCTGTGGCTGCCTTGCAGCTTGTAACAACATGACTAACAGTAGTAATAAATCAACATAACCATTTCACTACTGATGGGTTTTTAGGTTATTTCCAGATTTACTACAGAAAAAGACTAATATCCCCAGTTGCTTTGAATAACTAAATACCTCTTTTCTTTGCTAGTTTTTTAGGACGCATCTTTTGTTTCATTTCAGCCATGAACCAGAGAATCAGTCAAAGTGCTCCAGTGAAACAGCCACCACCGCTGGCTCCCCAGAGCCCTCAGGGAGGAGTCCTGGGTGGCGGCAACTCCAACCAGCAGCAACAGATGCGGCTGCAGCAACTGCAGATGGAGAAAGAGAGACTGCGACTGAAGCAGCAAGAACTGCTTCGGCAGGTGAGGCCACAGGTTAGAAACCAGCCTTCCACTTTTTGGGATCTGTTTTCAAAATGAAGTTGGATGTATTTTATTTATTAGTTAGAGGAATGTTTCTCTAAAACTAGAGTGACACAGAAACACTCTATCCAGCCCTGTCCTTGTCTTAGTTTAGTTTCTTGACTGGGCTTTGATCACATGGACTGTAACATGTAAAACTGTATCACAAAGAGAGGTTTGGGCCATGGTCATTGCAGCCACGCAAAAATTGAAGGAAGCAAGGGTGCTTCTTCACGTGTACATGGAATTGTAGCTTACTGTGCTTCTGCAGTTACTATTCTGAACATTCACTAACGGGGAAACTCTGGGACATCACTTAGGGAAAAACATCTTTTACTTTAAATGAATTCTTTTACCTGGGGAAATACTCCAGTATATTTTTCATATGACAGCTATCTTTCAGTATTGCTCAATCTAAGACTTTTAAAACATAACACACGTTATCCTAAGTTTGGAAGGTGCCAAAATTCCGTAAAAATTACCGGCTTTGGGGGTTTTTTTGTTGTTGTTGTTTAATGTTGGGAAGGAAAGGACATTAGAGATCTTAAAATCCTTTATGACCTTTCCATCAGTTTTCTTGCAGAAAGTACTGTTGGTCTTTATGTTCCATAAGAATGGATAATCCCTCATCTAAAAATCAGTTTTTACTTTATCTTGATTGAGAGGGATAAAGTCTATGTAATGGGGGTGTGATCTTATCAAAACAGTTTATTTTTTAAGTTTTATATAAATTTTGGGGATAATAAAAATAAGTGTAGAAACGGTAAAAGCTGTCAGTTTCTTGTTTGTGTGGGTGTGTGTGTTTTTTCAGAGACACTCTTATCTGTTTATAAACATTAAATACATGTGTCCATACTCCCCTTCCCCCACCTATATCATAGCATGCTAAGTACAGATATTAAAAAAATAATACTCTACATGTCTTACCAGGAAGTGGGCGTTTAAACAAGGTACTTTTCTTTGTAATGAGGGCTATATTTAAAAAGTGTCCCTGGAGTGTTAATGGAAATGAATGAACTGAATTGAACTCTGATTTGCGATTTGAGGACCTGGAAGCTGAGGAATTAAAATAAGCCATGAACTCCCAGACAGACTCACCTTTCCACTGTTTGCGCTGTCAGTACTCTCAGTGTAACGATAGTGTGAGGCTGGCACCAAGGTGGGCCCGAGAGGGTAGGAGGGTCTGTGCCAGCAGGCGGTGTCAGGAAGTGGTCTTGCAAGAAATATTCCTTCATCTGCCATTAAGAAGGTGGGGACAGGAAGCATATTAACCCGTTTACTGTGTCTCTAACGACTAACAAATTACTCTAAAGGAAAGATTTCTCGTTTAAATAACATTCATCATCAGAACAAGGGGGAGCCATCATGTAGCTCTTAGGAGAAATAAAGTAATTTAAGAGTACCCTTTACACAGCCTGTTTTCCATGCTTGCTTTTTGTTTTGTTGTTACTGAGTACTAGATGGTCTAAGTAAATACAAGTCTTAGTTTCACATATGAATGGAAGACTCTGAAAACCAAAGGAATCTTGTTAAGAAAGTGATTTAATTACTTATGTCAAAGTTTTACTGTTTATAATTTTCATATATAAAAGTCTAGAAATGGGCTATTCGTCATTTTGTTGTATGCTATAGACCAGCCTGGCTTGTTTTTGGTGTCTTTTTGGTGGTATTTTGGTGGGCAAAATGCTGCTCCTTGTAAAACGCTTCCTTCCAAGGAATTTTTCTATTTTCACTTTTACTCTGGGTGATGGGGTCCTGGCAGAATAGCTTCATTTCCTTGGAAGGTAACTTCTTGCTCTCTTTCTTCTTTACTTCCAACTGCGTTGTCTTTTCTTGCATTGAAATGACAGAACTGCTCTATTCTTAATACTAATAGTCTATATTTTTAGGGTGTTTTTGTTTTTTAGCAATTGGCATAAATAACGTATGTCTTAAGTCTTTTGGCTTTCTGTGAACTTCTTCCATCGACAGTTTCTCTTATCACTAAAACATCAAATTATATTTTTCTTGCTTCACCTAATACTCAGAAGCGAAGAACCTACCTGACCAATAGCAAACCTGATTTGGGTCCTGACACCTAGTCTTGCTGTCCTGTCCTCAATGCTGTGCAATGCTTGAGAGGTTTGAGTTGTTGTGTGGTGACTCCATTGGCTCCTGTCTTCCTCAGTCTGCTGCTTCGGGCTAGCTTGGGAATTCTGTGCTATGGTGATATGTCTGGATACAATTTGTAAGTCGGCCTACATAGCCAAACCATGTGGCTTGAAGTAATTTTTATCCATCTTATTTTTTACTCATAGGCAATGCGGAATATCAATCCCAGCACAGCAAATTCTCCAAAATGTCAGGTAGGCTCTTATCTGATGTTTTAGCATTAAAAATGGAAAAAATATTAGGAAAGAGAGAAACTTGTGCTCCAAGGGCCTGTTCTCACTAAAGATTAGCCCACAGTATAACTTTGAGCTATCTTTCTACCAAGATACTTCAGTTAATGTTGCTCTTCCCAGAAAGTCTACTATCTGTTCCCTTCCTGCTCCTCCCGTATTGCTGCTAGTATTCATTTTTATTCCATAGAGGTCTTTTTTTATTCCACATTTGAAATATATTATGTCTCCAGTGTACATTCTATCAGTCTTGAAGTCTGCCTAATTTTTATATTGTGTAGCTTTAAAAAGTATTAAATTGATAATTTGAACAGTAACAGGAATATTGACTTGGGGAGGCTACTATAGGAAATTTTATTAATAGTTGTAATGCTACTGTTAGAAAAGGAAAAGTTCTTTCTAGTGAACATTCCAAAGGAACAATATCAAAATCACTGGAAGAGAAGGATCTGCCCAGGGAGTGTTTTGATTTTCTTTGTTGGCTTTTAGCAGCACAGTTTTCCTCGATGAACCCCAGGGAGCACTGGTTGTGAAGGTATCTTATTTAGAGGGAAAGATAGTGGCCATGCTTTCTTCTGGCACAGCCTCTTATCTGACTCATGGACAGAAAGTCATTCCTGAAACCAAAGGGATTCTCTTGTGTTCAGGGTTCCTAGAATTTGAAGGAATTGGGAGGTAGGGGGTCATTGCACTTTTCTCAGGTGGACAGAAGCAACCATGAAACCCCTCATATGATATGTAGCTCTTTTGCATTAGGCTAAATAAGTGCATTGTGTTAGAATCAGCTGTGGAAGTGGGAGTTGGCAGAATGTTGCTCATTTTGGATACTGTTAACTTGTCCTTGGGGCACTGTGCTGATAAAGTCAGATATCGTCTTCATAGAGACCAGTTACTTTGTGAGGGGAGAAACTCTGTTCTTTATCTCATTGGTGCCTCCTTTAATCAGTAGATCAAGTTAGAAAATAACTCACAGACGTTCTCTTTGCTAAAGCAGAGAGCACATGCCTGCTTTCCATGAGGGCCTCTGATACCACACTTGTCTGGAAAGAGCACGTAGCATTGGGTCTTTATGGTGAAGACATTTTTTCCCTTGCTTTTCCTCTAAAGTGTTTCTGAACAAGACTTATATTTGTGCTAAATGAAGTGGAAATTAACATAGGATCAGAAATTAACTCAAATTTGAGCCAGAAGTCCTCCATGCCAAAAGTGTTTTGGGAAATTGTTTTTTGTTTTTTTTTTCCAATCTGAGATTTTAAACCTCAGATCTAATCAACAAAGTACTTCTAAGTTTTTATATCAAACTCGAGTATAAGTTAATCATAACTCTTACTAAAATTCTCACTAGGAGTTCTTAGTTACTTTTTTTACTACTAAAACTTTAGAAAAGGTGAGTCTTGTAAGTAATAAGAATTATATTTCAATTTATATGGCATTAAAAATGCAGAGTTGATTTCTTAGATTTGTCTAAGAGCAAGCAACCTAAAAAGGATACAGTTTTAAAAAAATCAACTTTGGGATATGGAAAGGTACCAAATTTCATAATGTTTACAAATCACTCATTTCAAAGGTTGCCTTGAAGTACTTTCTAATAACATTAAAAAAACATGTCTATATTATAGGATTCTCTGGTCAGGTAAACTTATGTCAGTATAGTTAAGGTAAACACAGAATTCTGAAAAATTTAGACAACTTAACTTTAAAGGCAGTAGTATATCTTCTTAGTTAAAGATGGACATTATCACTTTAATTTATTTGGAGAATTTTAGAGAAACTTGACCTCAGAGAGCTTAAAATTGTTAGTTGCATTTTGATTATTCACTATTTTGTGTTTTTTATTCTCAGAAAAAAACTTTAAAGCTACAAACGTTGTCTTTGCTCTGTGAGATTGAGCATGTAATGCCTAATTTTCTAGACATGTCTTTTTCTTTTTCTTTTTTTTTTTTGATATATTTTATTGATTTTTTACAGAGAGGAAGGGAGAGAGATAGAGAGCTAGAAACTTCGATGAGAGAGAAGCATCGATCAGCTGCCTCCTGCACATCTCCCACCGGGGATGTGCCTGCAACCCAAGTACATGCCCTAGACTGGAATCGAACCTGGGACCTTTCAGTCCACAGGCCGACGCTCTATCCACTGAGCCAAACCAGTCTTGGCGACATGTCTTTTTCTAATACATGAATTGCTCCTTTGTAAAGGATTGCATCCCAGCTTCTGTTTCAAGGCCTTTTAAAACAAACATTTTAAGGGAAGATAGTCTGCCCTGAGTATGATTGTTTTTAACTTTTCTTGTGCTTAAGAATGTGGTTCCTGATACCTGTGAGATTAATGTAAACTCTGCAACCTGGCTCATGGTCTGTGGTCAGTAGCCTGGTTAAGCCAATTGCTCTTCCTTCTGCTAAGTGTACTCTCCTGTACTGTTACCATGATTCTGCCGGGAGCTTTTCTTCCTCTTACCAATTAAGATTATCCATGTAGCCTTACAAGACATAGGTCAAGACTGATCCCCAAGTGGCTTCATCTGAATTCTTGAAACTGCCCAGGAAAATAGATATAAGACTGTTGTAATTAGTTACCCTTTTTTTTGTGAGTAAATAATTGCTTTAATCTTCATAGAAATTATAGCTATAAATGTTTTTGCAACTAATGAATTTGTGTTAGCCATTTCTTACGAGTAGTAATAAATATACATCAGGGTCAGTCATGGGTTTAATGAGTGATAAAACCCGCAGTGTTACTGTTGAAGATATTGTATGTACTACACCATTAGCCCACATGGTAAAGAAGATCAGATGTCCATAGTTTTAGTTAAATGGAGTAAAGTAATACTACTGTTCAGCCCTGTGAAAAAATAGCCATCAACCTTTTGTCCCCCTAGTAGCAAAGAATTTGGCCTACATACCCCCCCCCCACCACCACCACCGCTGTCTTTCTTGTCAGCAGATGCTGGAAAAGCTGTTTCAGAATCCACTGAACACTTCTCCTAAGATTGTCTTTCTTCTTTTCGAAGTCCTAATACTGATATAAACCATAGATTCATTTATGTGTTTTCCTGTGAATATTTTATATTTTATTTTTAATGTGCATGTTGACATCTTTGTATAAAAGGGGTCGGGGGAGATTTAGCCTCACACCCTGCAAACTCTAATAGG